CGCTTTTACGAACTCTCTATTATGGACACTAAACGACGTCCCCAAGCGTGTCCGCTATAACGAGAGTTGATTGTGTAAGAGATGGAACATTTCAAAATGATAACGGAATATAATAATGCTCTAATTCTACCATAGTGCTCAAGAAAACGGGAAAAAACAGAGAATTGTGTCAAGAGAATGAATTTGGCTAAACCTGCATGTGGCTGCTATGGCAATGAGAAATGATATATAGAAACAGTTCACACAGCAACAAACGAGATGAATGAAAAGTTCCTGAAAGTTTCAGAATTACATAGGTTATCTTCTTTTCAAAGTTGATGATTGCATCAACTTTTATACCTCCTTCCCCCCAGAAATATATGCCCAAGGGTTAAATGTCACTGTTAAAATTTGCCTTGGGAGACGTTACTGAGGTTATGGTTAAGTTCATGTTGACTTCAAGAACTCTTCAGTTGAGCGCGTTCTTGAAGGAGAAAATGGCTGTCAAAGTATCGAGTTGGTTGCTTCTCCTAATAGTAGATACATGAATTCGTGCATGAAATGAGAAAAGCAAGAGTTTCTGTCCAGCTAAATTGGCTGGAAGTCTTTATATCTCGCTTCAAAATGCGCACATTTACTCTTACAAAGAAAAAAGGGCATATTTAATAGCAAGTACGCTTCAACAATCAACGAAATATTTCTTATAAGCTTTACTCTCTTTTAAATACTCCAGATATTTTCTGGTATCGCACAGTGGGGCTGTATGTAGCTGGCGATGATGTCAACGCATAATCAAACCGATTCCGATATTTGCAATCACACAAATCACAAGACACATTAGCCACAAGATGAAATGTATTCCCTTCAAAATTTGATCGATGCCTGCCCTCTGTAAGCTTGTCAATATGGTATTCACAATCCAAATAGCTACCATAAACTTAAAATTACGTTTCGTTGAAAACACATTATCATATTCTGCTTGAAGTTTTACTGCAGCCAAAAGTTTGTAGATAACAGCACTTGTTAAAAGACGTAAGCGATTTGATAAAACGTTTGTTCATGCAGGACACACCATGACTTTTTGTACTCGGAAATTCCCTGAGGTGTGGAGGAGGATTACGGAACAGCTATTTTTGCAGTCACCACACCCTCAAACGAGCTGATTCCATATTGGACAACAGGCGCAGAAAAATGACTTTTATATTTGTAACTTTTTCAATAATCAAAATTATTTTTTATAACATATTAAACAATTAATTTCTACAATTGTTGTTAAACGCAAGGAAAATAAATTAACCCTTGACCCAAGAAAGGCCAGAATATTAACCAATCGCCTTACTGATAGTGCTAACAAATTAAATTAAGTCGCTATTCATGGTATGATTTCTAATCTGCAGCTTCGATAAAGAAAGGCTCTCAATTATTTTATAAAGGCGGTTTACCTGACTGTGTT